ATTAAATGTCAAACTAATTCATCATAAAACATATGAATCCAAAAATACATCATTTCTAATTAAAAACTTCAAGACAAGTTGTTTTCTTCTTTCTATATTATTCAACTTTCTTATTTTTACTTGATTCTTTAAATATATACAAAAATTTTCTCCATTAGAAACTAAACAAAAAGGAATATAATCATGCATTTCTTTATTAATTAAACCCTTCACCTCTTATTTCTTTCTCTCGTTCTATCTTTAGGTATCATTTAGAATAGGTTATCCCTATCGTTTTCAAAATACATTTCAAGTTTACTTTTTCATCCATCATCTTCTTTTCTTTTTTTATTTAACTTCTTTCCTTTTTATATATATTTCACATATGTCGTTTTTCTTTTATCTTCTATCACATACACACCTTCTTGGAGTGTGCATTTACCTATCTCTCGCGAAGACAGGTTTGAAAGTTATACCTATCTAATTAAGGTTAATTGGAAAGGAACGACAAGATTAGGACATATGTGTTGGAACTTGGAAAAATCTCCTCGTACGCCTGTCTTAAAGGAACATTCTGTCTGGTATTAGTTACACCAATGACGTACGATCCTCGCAGATCATGGATATTGAATAATGTAATACAAATTACTTCTCGTTTATGTTTACAGAGAGATAGAAATTTAAACCAAAACAAAAAATGACACGACAGGAGCATTTGTTACAGTCTGATATGAAATACCAAGACGCAATGAGAAAATTAATAAAGGTGATGAGATATGAGAAACCAGCAATAGTTACATAGATTGACATCATATAAACTGCGCACTGGAAAAGCTGCATTAATTTTCTTGTTCAATTTCAGAACCTGCTTGATCATCATCTTGGTCAAGGTTCATGCAGTCATTTCCATGAGCCGTGTGTCCATATCCAAATGCCTTGATATGATCTTTGAGGGACCTTTTGTGCTTGAAATCAGAGCCACAAGAGCAATACCAGCGTTTCCCACAGTTCTTCTCATGAGTTCTCCAATCACCCCTCACAGCAAAGGTTTTGCAACATTTTCTGCACACGAAAGGCTTTGTCCCATGCTTTCTCTTGTAATGTGTTTGAAGGGTTCTGAAGTCTTTGAGTGGTTTTGCTCTCGGATGGTCGATGTTGTTCTTGCATCCTGGAGCACAGCAATAGCAAGGGAGCCTTAGCATAGCTGTTGGTTGTGTTCCCCTTAGAGACTCTGGTCCCTTTCTATATTGAGATCCATGCCCCCACATATGCATCTGAAAATTCCTCCACCAATATTATTATGATGTAATAATAACACCAAATAGTCAATACTTGGAAAGGAAACGAAGAAAAATAAACTATAAAATACCAGTTTTGACCACTATGAAAAAAAAAAAAAGACAAACCTGAAACTAGGTCTTTAATTTGTTGCATGTTGTTATGAAAAAATTTAGAATTTGAATTTGAATTACTTTACCATATGTCGGCCAGGTCTTTCAGTAGGAATTTGATGGAGAAAGGAGGATTGTACAATTATATAAAATAAATAAATATAATGCTCATTTTTCAGAAAACATTAAATTTGGAATATTTATCAAAGAAGAAAATTTTGTACTATCTTCTCTCTCTTTACAAATCTTAACACCGAAACATGCTAACTAGGAACTGCTTCCTTTTAACAAGTTTTAGAGCTTGTTCATCAACAACGCTCTGTGTGATTAAAGAAATAGGTGCCAGTGTAGGGCATCCTGTTAAAGAAAAAGTTCAGGAGCCCAGCAAGAGAATATTTGTACAGTTAAATATATTTATATTCATTTTTATGTAACTCAATTGATGTCGTTTCAATTTATGTCTCCCTTGTCGGTGTGTTTATGTTTTTTGGTATAAACTAATTACACTTATAATTAACTTATGGAGAGAGAGAAAAACCTTGTAGATGCAAAAAGGAATATCATTAACCATATATTTGGATACTGATCTTCACAGAAGAAGTGAGAGATCTCATATTTATCTTAGCAGAAAAAGGGTGATAGATCGAGTAGTTTGAAGCTCAAATAAAAGGAAAAGAAACGTAACAGGCTAACCAGGAAAACCCTAAATTATAATGCACACTGCGGATAAAATCTTCCTCCTTTGAGGAATATTTCAGGTGAAAACTTGAAGTGATACTATAGATAGAACTGAGAAGAATTGATTTTCTTTGGGACAACTTTTCTGAAAACGGGATCTGTGAAAGTAGGGGTATAGGAGAGTAAGAAAAACAGGAAAAAGCTGGGAAAAGGAAAGATATTCTCTTTCTTTCTATAATTCTATTCACAGTTAATTATCGTATATCTTGAATATTTTATTATTCTCCTCTATCGAGGGAATTGATCATCAAAATGACCAAAGGTGACAAACCTGCATGTTGTTGTATCTGTTGAACGTCTTGAAACAAAGAGGGCATGCGAACTGTGTTGGACCAATCAGAATCTGAGCAGAAGTAGGGATCCAATATTGTCCTCTGTTAATTCTATCTGACAGTAACCCCGAAGCATCAGTGGTTTTTTCTCCTTTGTCTGAAACCTCTGCTGAGTATAGGCTTGAAGCTAAATCAGCAGATGCAGCAGTGCTTGGAAGCCCTAAGTGTAAAGCCACAGTGACAGCATCCTCTTCGTCTAAGCACTTGGATGATGATGATGTACTCAGCACTTTCTTTTTCTTGTCAACTTCCATGGCAATGAATGAAGATTCAAGACATTCTTCTTCTTCTTCATCATCATCTTGTTGTTGTTGTTGATGTCTTAGATGAAGGAAAGGAAGGAGTTTTGTTTGATGAGGAGGAGGAGAAGTGTAGGTATGATAATTGGAAGGAAAATAGAATGAAGGATTGATGGGAGGAGGAGATGAAGAAGGAGAAGAGAGAAGACATGGTGAATTGAGGTCCAAGCAAAAGTTAAGGTCATTGGATCTGTAGGAATTGGTCATGATGAGGGGGTGAAAAGAAAAAGGTGTATGATCAGCTATAGAAAGGGTTGTGATATTAATTATACCCAACTGAGTGCACAGAATAAAGGGAAAGGGTAGTGGAGTGAGGGTTGAGATGTGCAGAAGATAGTTTCAGTTTTTAACAAGCAAAATAGCTACAATGAAAGAGTTAGGTGAAGGGTTAAAGGATGTGAACAAATTAATTCAATGTTGGTAAAGCAAGACCAATAAAGTTGAGGGAGACAAGAAATCACTTGGAAAAAAGTTCAACAGATTCAATATAAAATTTGGTTTATTAAAAATATGCACTTGTCATTTAGCTTTTCATAATCATGCTTCGTTTTAGTATTTCAAATTAACATTCACTAACATTCATTTATAATATATATATATATATATATATATTATAACGGAGGTTTATTAAAGAAATATAAATACTAATAAAATCAGAGTTCAATCACATAAAAAAATTAATATTATTTTTTATTTAAAATATTAAGACAATAAATTAAATTATCTTTCACTTTATATAATATTTTCTTTTTTATTTTTATTTAATATGAAAATTAGAATCATATTTGAATTTCAATAATTCAATGATATGATCACAGTCAACTTTCATGATATGTAATTTGTTACACTACTTGAAAGTAACTATGGTTTTAAAATTATCTAAGAGAATTACTATGAAAAAGTATTATGTTATGTTAAATAAGAAGTTTGAGAATGTAACCGTGTGTATGATATCAAGCAATTGAAAGAAGGGCTGGTAATTAGTATTTCCGAGGAAAACATAGTTTGTTTGTTTGACATCATCGGAAAAAAAAAATACTTTAATGGATTTGAATAGAAGCATTTGCTTTGGCTTGCACGCTGTGGTCGACTTGGGTCCTCAAAGCACACAGGTTTTGTCTGTCTCCAATACTCTTGCATGCAATTGTTCACTGTTCCATCAACCATGTCTTCCTCGTTCACAACACTAAAGCAAGCTTTTTCAAATTAGTATTACTATATTAAAAATGGCCAAAAATGTTTGTTCTTTCGTTTTTCTGAACTTATGTATTTATATAGGTACGTTGAATTTATTTTGTATAATTATATTTGTATTTCCATGTGGCATAAAAATATAAATAATATAAACGTCATTTTATAAATCGATTTAAAATTTATTTTTTATTATAGTATTTAATTTAAATTTTTTTAAGTTATAAATTATATTATGTCATTTTTATTAAATTGTTATTAAATCACCAATTAATATCTAATTTCACGTTCAAAATATATATACATTATTATAAAGAAAATGTGTTAAAGATTTTGACTAAAGATAAAAATAAAATTATAGTATACAAATATAAATTTTATTTTACAAGTGATTTTTATAAAACCATATTAAATTTCTATTTCTTGAAACTTCAAAGCAATAATTTATAAGTGATAGATACTGGGTTTCATTTGTATGCATAAAGAAGAATATTATGTGGGAAGAGACACTTGTAGATATTGTTACAGTAGTTTGGGTTAGAATTTTATTTTTGTGCAACAAAAGACATCAATGGTTGCCACGTTATTAGTGATAATTCAATTTTAATCCTAATCAAACATTGAAAGCATATAGCATTATATATTATTATTTTCTAAAATAGCACCGGTATCTCAAATGACATATTCCTATTTCTAGATTACCTAATTTTTTACCCTGAAATTTATTTATTTTATATTCAAAATTTGAAACATAAAGCTTTAAATTGTAAAATACCCTTACAAAAATATATATTACTACTCTAAAAGGAAATATAGACTATGGTCATCGTCTCGAGGGAAGGCCCAAGGGTGCAGTATTCTGGGCTTCAAGTATCAGCCCATTAAACAACTATAGGTATATTGGGTTAAGGCTGCGAAGGTTGCTCCCTCCACCACCATTGATACTCCCTGCACCTCCCCATAAAATTTTTAATGATAAAATGATCCTTTAAATTTTTACTTTTTACTTTAACCTTAATACTCTAAATAATTCTTCACTCTCCCCTCATTCAGCCGCACCCCCCTCTCTGTCTACTCTCTTCTCACATCCGTGCTCTCATTCTCTTCTCTCTTTTGGCGGTGAGATCCGTTTTTCTCACCGTTTCTTCTCATCATCCAGATCTGGTTGGTGCCGTCCATATCCGTTGGAGATTCGTTGGTGGTGTGGGTGTTCGTGTTGTGGTGGTGTGGCGGTGGTGGTACGCCGATGGTGCGGTGATCATTCGTGGGTGGAGAAAGTTGCTGGTGGAGGTTAGTTTTGTTTAGATATTTTGAATTGAATGTGAATGTGTGTTGTATGTTTGGTTTGCTGGATTGTTTTGATCGTGGATGGGTGTTGTGTGTGCGTTTAGTGTTCACTGTGTTGTGCTGTGTATGTGAAGAAGATGACCGGAGCGCCAGAACGGATGTCGCATATCCGTTTGACACTGAAACGAATGTCGCATATCCGTTTGGCACTGAAACGGATGTCACATATCCGTGGACGGATGTCGCACATCCGTTTGAAGGCGAAACAGATGTGGACCATCCGTCGTGCTTGTGGGCGGTTTTTCTTTCATTTTTTTAATTTATTTAGTATTTAAATATTTTATTTATAAAATATTACGTAAATGTTGTTTATTTTATTTAATGAAATTATTATTATAAATTTAATTAAATTAATTTTAGTTTAATTGAATTGATTATTTAAATATGGTTTTATTTAAGTTTGTTTTTAGTTTTTAGTTTATTAGTTTATTAGATTTTAAAATAATTTATACAGTATTTAAAATGTAAAATTTAATTATAATATGTTTACGAAATTATATGTAAATTTATTTTATTTTATTTAATGAAATAATGATTTATAATTTAATGAAATCATTATTAATTTAAATAAAATATTTTTTATCAGAAATGGTAAGAACACGCGGTGTATCTTATACTTCTCGTGGAGAGAGTTCTTGAGAGGAGAGTTCTGCACAAGGCGAAGCTAGGAGACGACCTACAACTTCGGCTCGAAGAAGGCGTGGAGCTCCTATTCATGATGACCCTATTGCTGAGGATCGAGCGACTGAGGAGGAGGCATATCAGGCCTATGAGGATGATGTTCAGGAGGAGGCCTATGAGGGTGATGTTCAGGAGGAGGCATTTGAAGCCCCTGACCACGATGATGATGAGGAAGAGCATGCGGATGTTGGTGCCATAGAAGAGGATATCGGTGATTTCCTGGAGGTCCACGTGATGCTTCATTGCTTATGGTATTTCGCAAGGCCGGGTGAGTGCAGAACTTAAATTTGAATTATTAATTTGTTTTCGAATACAAATTATATTAAATATTGTTTTGTAGGATCGAGGGGACATGCTGAAGTTGATCTCGCACGATAAAAAAGTGAATAAGTTAGGATCGTGCGCCGAGGGAATTCAACACATTGTGTTGAATTCCTCTTTGATGCCTCTCATAGAGATTTGGTATGATTATGTTGATAAGGGCTTCTTGCTTGGTTTCATAGAGAGATGACATTTTGAGACGAGTAGTTTCCATCTCCCTGTAGGGGAGATGTCGATCACTCTTGACGATGTGTCGATGGTGACGATCCATCGACGGATATCAACATCCGTTGAAGGGAGAACGGATGTTGACATCCGTAACTCCTTCAGCGGATGTTGATATCCGTCGACGGATCATCACATCCGTTGAAGGATTAACATAACTCTTTTCACGTACCTGAGACGAAGCTCCCTCTGCTGCTCCGATAACCACCACCACAAACCCGAGCTCTCACCATCGAGGTTCCTTGCACCACTTGCAACATTCCACCAGCACAGCCCACCACCACACCGACTCACACCACCATCACAATCTCACACGACGCACAGACTCACACCACCACCACAATCTTGCCAAGAAGAAGAAGAAACGAATAAATGATTTTTGTGTGAAAGTTTGTGGTGTGGGGGTGCATTCTTATAGATGGGATCAGTAATTAATGAAATAGGTTAATATTGGTGAAAATTTACTCCGAAACAAATTTGTCACGAAGAGGTGTAGGGAGTATTTAGTGGCGGTGGAGGGAACTCTCTAATGCTGGTGGTGCTTAGAGCTTATTGGGTTCAGATTTTACTTACAATCTTTATATATATATATAGGCTGGTGGTACTTACAGGAATGCAATATCTTGAGCCTTAGAATATAAAAAGTTAAATGATTTTACTAATTTCACTAATTAGCAATCTCGACTTTCATACCCACAATAATTAGTCAAATTGTTCTTTTAACAAATACAATTATTTCAGACACTTTTAGTTCTTGAAATATTTTCTGTTTATTTCTAGTCATCGTCAATGATTATTCTAGTTTGATAGTGACGTGTCATTTGTCGTGTTACATTGGAGTATGCGACATGTAGTATTAAAGAACACAACGTGTCATTAGTATTGTTAGCATCAAATTACACATGCGCACACTAATATTTTTTTTTTAACCTTAATCTTCTTTATAGGTGAAAACTACACAGTACCGAAAAGCTCATTAATGGTAATTTGGTTTTTAAGTGAATTTAAATATTAGGTTAGCATGTGATAGGGTGATGGAAGAATTATCTATTTTAAAGTTTGAAATTTAGTTATAATTTTTTTTGAAAAATAAAAAAACAAAATATAATATGTAAATATTTTGTGTATAAAGTATAATTATTGTAAATATAATGATACCTTTTTCTTTCCTCACTTCACTTGCACGCCGGCTTTTTGTATCATTCGCTTCTCAATTATGATGTGCGTGTTTCTCAGCGTGATTCCCTCACATGCTGCTCATTTTCCACTTCTTCATTCTCACAATTATTAATCCTAATAACTAATATAAAAATACTTTTAAATTCTAACTGGAATATTTTTAAATTTTAATTCAGCTTTATTTTTATTTTTTTCTCTTTTTCAACCATGTTCCATTCTTAAATCTTAATATATCTTCTTAATTTTCTTCAGTTCATATTACTATTTGCAAAATTGATTTTTAATATCATAAGAGTCACCTGACAACCCAGAGATAAAATAATCATTAAAATAAAGTAATTTTTATATTTATAAAAGAAAAAAAAATTAAAGGGTAAACTTTTGTAAAGACTTTTAAGGTATCAAAATAACTGCTACTTGTTGTTCTGGTCAGGTTATGTTTGACAACAATTCAATTAGTTTTTTTATATTCTTATTAATTAAAACCTTTTGTTTAGTGTAGAAAAATATTTAAAAAAAACAGTATTATTTATTCTTTCAAGTAACTGTATAGTTTCTAGTTTTTATTTTTTATATTTATTTACGTTTTTGTAATAATATTTATTATTATTTTATCTTTTGAAATATATTGCTTTTTATTATATTTAATAAATTTTAATAACGAAGATATAATATTAATTCAAGAGATTTTATTTTTAAATTTACTGAAAATATTTTAAAGATATTGTGTAAAATCAATACAATATACAATGTAAAAATGCATTTTTGAAAATAAAAATTAGAAGACTTTAAATTAATTAAAATGAATAAGTTGTAAATATTTCAAAATATATTTCATTAATTAATTTAACTAATTAAATTAAATCGAATTCTAAATAAAGAGAAATAAAACTAAATTTAATATAAAAATACTATTTAAACGTAGCCACTTATATTTTTTATTTTCCATTATTTAAAATTTATCTGTTATTTCAACATAAATACTTATTAAATACATATAATTTAATAAAGTAGTTTAAAAATTATCAAGCTATCAATTTATAATTCAATAAGTTAAATAAAAAAATTTCAAATATTGAATAAGATTTAATGTTTTACCTCTACCTACTTATTTAACTTTTTTTATATAAATATAATTTGTTTACATTTTTAAAATATAATTTTTATCATGAATTTTTTTGTGATTTAAAATGTTGTATATTATTTTATTTTTTCTTTTTAATAAATTTTTATATAATAATAAATGATTGATAGATTTTAAGATGTCAAATGGACTATAATTTGTGGATTAATCTATTCATGAACGGGTTGGGTTGAAATTTTCCCTCCGTTAACCTGTTTTGATCTAACATACCAAAGAGACGGATTAACCCGCCGTTAACTTGTAAGCTCTTTTTGTTTTTTCATTTTTTACTTTTAAATTAAAAAAATAATTAAATTTTATATATATTTTTTAAAGATGCAAATATACATATTATTATAATTTAAATTAATGCTTACAAGTTAAATTTCAATTATTATTTTTAATAGAATAATTTAATATGTAATTATAATAATTATTTTAATTTAATTATTAATTTTAATAGAATAATTTAACATGTAATTATAATAATTATTTTAATTTATCTAATTAAAAATATTAATTAATCTGTTAAAAGCTTAAAAGTTTTTATATAATTAAAAATATTTTAAATATTTATATATATATATATATATATATATATATAT